ATTTGTATTTTATTATTATTTTAATAAAATAAAAAAGTATTATAATTTTTTTTACAAAACTAAAACATATGTGAGCATAAAATTAAAAGTTGCGCATGAAAAAAAAACTGACTAAAACATGGTCTAAAACAAACCCAAAAATTTTAATTATCCCAGGAACATGAGTAAAAAAACTACTATTTTATTTTATTATTTTTAACCATATGTGAACCTAAAATTGAAAAATTAAGCAAGAAAAAACTCACTGAAACCTTGTCCGAAACCTAATCCAGAAATTTTAATTATCCCAGGGCTGTAAATTTTAAATGTTCTATAATAATACATTTTTTTAATTTATGAAACATTACTTATTTATAACACACACACACACATATATATATATATATATATATATATATATACACACACATACATAGCTGGGTAGATAACTTAAAAATTGTAATCCGATACTGATTCCAAAAATTGTACTTTAATCCATATTGTAACGTAATCCATAACATTACACAGTTTAGGTAATATACCGTATTGACCCGAATATAAGACAATGTTTTACATGTCAATAATACACTCACAACAATAGGTGGCGCTAAATACGCATAAAACGAGTGTGCCATGAAATACCTAATGTAATGCGTGTTGTATTTCCAAAAGGTACATCTGGAAAAAGGGGGGGGTCGTCTTTTAATCAGGGTCGTCTTATATTCGGGCCAATACGGTAATCAGACTACTTTTTGATTACTTTTTACCTAACTTATCATATTGATTTAAATAGGATAATCTTGTACCATATTGATATAACAATGCAAAGAGAAAGAAAATATATTACATTGGTTGTTATTAACATAATGAAGTGCATTAAACTTTACATTACGTAAAGATTTCCTAAACTGTGGTTCATAAAGGAACTGCAGGGGGTTCATAATTTTAATGAAAAGCTAATTACGTAATCCTCCAGATTACATGCAATCAGTTACTACCCAGCTCTGTGTATATATATATATATATATATATATATATATATATATATATACACACATATAGACACACACTGAATTACAACAATTCTGCATAGATGAGTGGACCAAAATTCCTCCACAGCGCTGTAACAGACTCATTGCAAGTTATCGCAAACGCCTGATTGCAGTTGTTGCTGCTAAGGGTGGCCCAACCAGTTATTAGGTTTAGGGGGCAAACACTTTTTCACACAGGGCCATGTAGTTTTGGATTTTGTTTTCCCTTAATAATAAAAACCTTAATTTAAAAACTGCATGTTGTGTTCACTTGTGTTATCTTTTACTAATATTTAAATTTGTTTGATGATCTGAAACATTAAAGTGTGACAAACATGCAAAAAAATAAGAAATCAGGAAGGGGGCCAACACTTTTTCACACCACTGTATATATATATATATATGCACATCGCATTGTATTGTGACTACTGTGAAGTGAATGAGAAATAAATTGTGAGACATTATGCTTTAAAGAGCACACAGTCAGATGGCTGGAAGCTCTCCTCACCTTCCTCCAGGGTCCTGGCCACTTTGATGTCGCTGTCTGTGCCTTGGAATTCGTTGAAGAAAGGTCGGACTTTGAACTCATAGGTCACGCCCTTCTTGAGCTGGGTGACGACTGCGCTGTTCTCCCCCAGGGTTCGAACCTCAAACATGGCCCATTCCACCCACTGCTGAGCGCCCTCTGGGGACGGCCGGTACATCACCTTATAGCCCTGAACGTACTGAGACTGCTGCTCGACCTACAGGCAAGAACAGGGCAAAACTGAAGGACAAAATCACTTAGATGCTGTAAACGCCTGCTAATGATTACCATTGACATTGTCCAGGACTTGGAATTTTTATGACATTTGTTGCTAGTTAGCTACACCATGGTTTATCAGACATACCAACATAGTTAAATATTATAATGTGCTGTAACTTTTACAATTACTAACAAAATTATAACAAAACTTATAACTATAATCCCAGATATTAATTTTGTTCCCTGAATATTTTCATTTTTTATTGCAATATTTCTAACACTTTGGACGAAAGTCTTTTTTTGTGGCTTTGTGGGTGTGCGTTTAAATACTTATCCTAGGTTTAATATGCAAAAATCAACATTGAAGATTCAGATTTGAGCTTCTGTTGACTTCTAATGTGCAATGATTTTCATATCGGAGGTGTTCAGGACTGCGATCAGTCCATATGGCCGTGGAGGGAGGAGAACTGTACACGCTTGTAAAGGTTTTAATCAATTCTTGATCCGCCCCAATAAAAGCAGATGTCGTTTCAGCTGTTTCTGATTAAATACGTATAAAGTGCGAACGACCCAAAATGTTAAAAAGTAACATGCTGGGAATACTTCTGTTCTTGTGTGCATGCATTTGTGGAGTGAAAATCTGTACAGAATTAACCTTGACTTCAGATGTTTAGAACATACTGTTTAATTAAAACTAAATGCATTTGTTCAATACCACATAAAACTTCAAATTAGTTAAATCTGTGCTTAAACTGAGATAAAAAGCAAGTTGCCAGTGAGTTAAGATAAACTTAATTGACAAAATATTCTCTTTAAATAAGTCTTATTATTGTTTTAAAATTTTCTAATTGTACACAATTTTGATTCTCAATTATGTATATCTAATGTTTAGGATGTTTAGTATTTCTCTGGAAAACAAGATAAAACACTGATTAAAAGAGGTAAAATGACAGAATTTTCATTTTTGGGTGAACTATCCCTTTAACAGAATTTTTATTTTTGAGTGAACTGTCCCTTTAAAAGAAAATGTGGCAGCACTCACAGTCCACTGGACTCTGACAGAAGATGATGAGAGAATTGTGGGATTGTGGAGGTGAATGACAACATCTCCCAGCTCCCTCTGGATCTGCCCATGGTCCACTCCTTGACTGGTTGGTGGGACGTCTACTCACGTAAACAAACCACATAGAAAATATGAAGCACAAGCATATATGAACATCAAATACCCCAGAATAATACACAAAACAGTGATACATTTCATAACTCTCACAAGTGCAATATTTAAAACGCGTGAAAGGACGCTTGTCTGGGAGGTCAAAGGTGAACTGACCTTGTGTTTTGACAGCATCGCTGATGGGGCTCGGGTCGCTCAGGCCGTACGCATTAGCCGCTCTCACCAGGAACAGGTAGACGCCGCTGGGTTTCAGACCCTTCAGAACGAAGCTCTCTGTCTTCACGTGATCCGCGAGCGTCTGCCAGCTGCTGCCCGCCGCATGGCTGCCATTCACACCACACAAATCAAACATCAGTTTACCCAAACTTTGTAGCGAAATATCGCAACTACAAACATTATTCCAAACAATGAGGTTACTGCAAAACTCAGGAAAGCACAGATGTGGGTATGATTATTTATGACATGCCGTAGCAAATGGACTGGGTATTTACAGAACCACCATTTGCTTATAAGGATATTCACAAATGTTTATAAAGCACACGCTCGTACAACCAAACCGACCAATGATAGATAAGTAATCAGAGCTGATGATGTCACCTGAAGGCCTCTATGACGTAAGAGGTGGGCGTGGCTCCAGCATTCAGGTTGGGCTTCCAGGACAGAGACACAGAGGTGCGGCTGACGTCCATGACTTCTGGTTTGAAGGGGGCGCTGGGGATGAGGTTGGGATCTGTGGGTCGGCCCGGCTGAACCGGAGTGCCAAACTCTGAAACCATAAACACACATGAGCATATCATCCTGTGCAATGATTACAACCAAAATCTGTTTAAAAAAAAAAGCAATTTTGTCTTGCTTTCTGGTCTTAAAACAAGGTCAATTTACATGGGAAGCAAAAGACTGTATGCAGTATCAGACATTATATGAAATATTAAATAGATATCAAGTCTTGTTTTTAGAGAAATCAAATGCTTAAATTTTTATGCTTTAAAAAGGAAGAAAAAAAAATTGCCACTAGGGTAAATAGACTTGTTTTCCCTTTTGAACTGTTCATTTTTCTCACCCCACCAGCATGTAAATCTGGCTTTAAGGACGTTCAGTTATTTATGTTGGAAAACAAGAGAAAAATATTCAGAAACAAAATGTTTTTTTTTTCCAGTGCAGCGGCTCAAATCTGTATCAAGAAACAATGAAAACCAATTACAGGCATAGGGTTGGGTACTGAAACCCGGTGCCAATATAGTGCCTATGTAACCGGTATGTACTAGAACCGAATCAGAACACAGATTTCGGTGCCACTTAAATGCTTGAGCGATATTTGTTCTCTGGTTCTCCGAAACGGACATAAGGATCACCGTCACCGCACGTGAAACATAATTTCCCAACTGAGTCGGAAAAAAAGTCGGAAAGCTCTAATAATACAAATCCAACACATCTTTGTAGTGTCATGTTGTTTTCACATTCCGACTTAAAAGCACAACTCGGCAAATGAGTGCATCCGAGGAGCACGTGAATGCAGTAATTAACATTACACTTGCTCTTATGACAGCAGGTAGATACCGTTAGCTAGCTAAGCTAAACATTCTTAAATTAAAATGCCTAAAGCTAAACTTCCATTGTAATGACTTGCAATGAGAAGCATTTCTAAACCTTTTGTCCAACAAAAGAGAACACTATAACGTTTTTACTCCACAACTGCTTCCTTTTGTGATCTGATGTGGCTTCTTGTCGCAGAATGAGGCAGAAAATATGTTCTATACTGTAAAAAGCACATGGTAAAAAGACTATGTCGATTAGCAATGGATTATAAATATACTTAATTATGATGAAAATACCAAAGATGGCTTGAATAACACAAACTATACATTGTCGCAGTCGAGTGTTTATTGTCTTTGTTTTATCATTCAAAACGTTTATATGTTCTGGTTACTCAGTTACAGCTATAATAGCAATGCCTTTGTCCATATAAGGGATTTCCTGGAGGGTCATGAGATCTCTACTTCTGTGACTGGATATGTGGATTTTCTGTGCGAGGGCGCCCTCTGGCGTCCAGTATGAATGAAACGGTATACTGTAAAAAGCATATGGTAAAAAGACTATGTCGATTAGCAATGGATTATAAATATACTTAATTATGATGAAAATACCAAAGATGGCTTGAATAACACAAACTATACATTGTCGCAGTCGAGTGTTTATTGTCTTTGTTTTATCATTCAAAACGTTTATATTTTCTTATTACTCAGTTACAGCGATAGCAATGCCTTTGTCCATATTAGGGATTTCCTGAGTTCTATTTCTTCTGTGATGCACATGTGGAGTTTCTGCGCGAGGGCGCCCTCTGGCATCCAGTATGAATGAAACAGACATTAAATGTGTTTATAGCGCTCAATAATGGCCAATCCATCCTATTTTTTTTTTATTTTTTTTTTTTAAGTATCGGTTCAGGCACCGGTACCATTTTAAAAGTATCGATTTGGCACCAGTATCGTAAAAAAAACCGAACAATACCCAACCTTATACAGGCAGACGAAAGTTTAATTTCAAACTCAATTTTAAACTTAATTTCCTGACGTCCGTTTCTCAGTGCCTCTCACTCTATTGTCTGTTATCTTGCGTTCTGTCTCTCTGTTGTACCTTGCACCTCCAGGTAAGCCTTCCAAGACGCCTCTCCGCTGGGGGTGGACGCGGTGCAGGTGTACATGCCAGTGTCTCCCAGCTGAAATCAAGAAAAGAAAATCCCTCTATTAATGCAAATATACACATATGCATATAAATTAATAATAATTTTCCGACATTCAGCTCCAAAATAACTCCTAGTTTGACACTATAGTGTCATTTCACACCAAATTACACAGTGTACATTGTCAAGACGTCTATTCAGAGTATCGCTTTCATATTGAAGACTGAACTTTTTTTTTTGTCTGCTCGTATGTAATACGTTGATAAAATTACATTGAGCAGATATTCTTCCAATGTGTACTATTTAGAATGTATGAATTAATCTGCTTTTATAGATGATCAGATGTACACAAATATAATATGTAAAGGTGGCATATGGAATGTCTGCACCACCAGCATTTGCAAACAAAACAAAACAAAATAAAAATAGTAAGTTATTTGGTGGACTTACCATAAAAATAATGATTAAAAACAAACAAATAAAATTCCTTAAAATAAAAAATAAAATATAATTTTCCTAAACCTGTAGTTAATTGGAGGACTTACTAGGTAATCAAAATGATGATTAAAAAATAAATAAAAAAAAACAATGAAATAAAATAGTAGTTTTCCCAAACCTGCAATTACTTGGAGAACTCATTAGGAAATCTAAATGAATGAATGAATCAATCAATCAATCAATGAAACAAAAATTGTTAAAAGCGAGAAAAAAAAGACTAACAGACAAATAAGAACATTTACATGTATGTTCCTAGACAGTGCTTTCTTAGCACAGAATGACAATAATAGTGAGTGTATGATGTAGTGTTGGCGTATGCTAATATCTTAAAGAAAAAAATATACATTTAAGAACACGTCAGTCGATCTGTCAGTCAATTTACGGAGGTGGTATGAAAGTCACCAGAAATAGACAGTCTATCTGGAGCTACTGGTGTGCGTGTGTTCGCTTAATGACATGTTTATTAATGCGGACCGCCCGAAGCGCAACAGATAGAGACGCATCTCCTCATTTCGCTTTATCTCTCCTCTATTCTTTAAAAGAAGCGAGACGTCGTCAAGTGAGACATCTATGTTAATTAAAGTCGTATTCTGACAGCCCATGCTGTGGGGACCTTTGACCCCCGTGCAGGGGGAACCCGTGTGTGTGTGTGTGTGCGCGTGTGCGGTGACAGGAAACACTCCCCTCCCCCTCGCGGCTGACGGGGGGTGACAGCAGGAGTGTGTGTTCACACATCAGAACCTGTAGGCTGACTGACGGCTCTCTGAACACTGGCCGTCTGTGTGTGAGATGATGATGTTGTGCTATAGTGAGGGATGAAAGAAAAACCTGTCTGATGCTGTACGACACACATGTATGTCTGTGTTCACTCACACCAAAAAAAGCACAAACCTTCAAAGACGCATGCATAAACAAGACATTAGGACTGTTTTGCAATCATTAGCAAATTTAAATCATTAAGGATGTATGATCATATATCAATATAGCAATACGGTATCAATACTTTGGACCTGTACTATTATTATTAATATTATTATTTATTTATTTACAGTGAGGTACTGCAAAAATGTGTATTTTTGTCCAATAAAAACATCCTTAAAACAAGATAAACTACCTTGAGATACAAAATTTCAGATGATGTGATATGATAATATATGAAATTACTCAGATATTAAGTCTTTAGAGAACTCATAAATGTTATGTATAAAAA